ATATATATGTATATATGTTTATATAATCTAACGGGCATTGTATTTAGAGATGAAAAATACCTTGTTTTGTCTAATCATCTTATTTACAGATTAGGAAACTAAGACCCAGATTTGTCCAAGGTCATACCAGTAGTAAGAAGTAGAACTGGGAATCAAGGTCAGGTCTTCTGACAGCCTTATCAAAAAATGTATATTAATTTAAATGTATTTATCAATATGTGTGTACATACATATAATACATGTGTATATGTGTATATACATATGTGGCTGCTAACCCTGTTGCAATTCTTGCCCCATCAATCGTCAGTCGTGCTTAAGTCACCTGAAAATTGGCTTTCTCAGGTTTAACTTGTGCCCTTGATACCATCCTCCCCCTTTCTTCCACAGCCTTGCCTATCAATGAATCTCAATCTCTCCTCCTCTACTGGCTCTTTCCATTCTGACTGTTTATAAACATGCTCATGTCTCTCCTACCACATACTTTTCAGTCCAGTGACATTGGCCTCCTGGCTGCTGCACAAAAACAACACTCCATTTCTCTGATCCATACATTTTCTTTGGATGTCCTCTATGCCTAGAATGCTCTTCCTCCTCATTCTACCTATTAACTTCCCTGGTTTCCTTTAAGTCACATTTAAAATTCTGTCTTTTACATGAAACCTTTCCTAACCACTTAATTTTAGTACCTTTCCTCTGTTAATTATTTCCTATTTATCCTGTATATAATTTACTCTATATATGTATGTATACATGTTGTATCTCTCATTATATTGTGACCTCCCTGAAAGCAGGGACTATCTTTTGACTACTTTTGCCTCCCCAGTGCCTAGCATAATTCCTGGATAATAATAGGTGCTTAATAAATATCTATTGATTGACAAGTTCATGGCTTTATAATCTCTATGCAAATGGCTTTAAAAGCTATATATCTAGCCTTAATCTCACCTCTGAGCACCAGTGGAGTAATTCCTTTGACTCAGAATCATGAATTTGGTTCAAATCCTGGCTTTGCTACATGTGACTTTTGTAACTATATATAAATCAATTAATTCTCTGCTCTGCTTTCTTATCTTTAAATTGGGGAGGTTGGAATATATTGTCCTCTAAGGTCCCATCCAACTCGTTTGTATAATGAAGATCTTGACTTCTTCAAGCACCACTTTAGCTTTGGCTTAATACTATCACCTCATTTGTGTAGCAGGATAGGGTAGTCTAGTCTGGCAAAGGAGAGAATAGTTGAATTATAAATTATTCAGATTTTTTATATGCTTGAATTGCTCCCCATTTTGAGCAGTTGAAGTATTCAGAATTCTCTAACATCAACCCAAATAGAGGTATCCTGCATTTAGTGAGTGTGAGGCAACCTGTTATATGCAATAAATGCAAATACTTCAGGCTAAAAATAAGAAAGAGGTTCCAAGAGGCCTAAATTCTCAAAGACATTCATTGTACTAAGTTTTACACATATTCATGGACTGAACTCATGACCACAGAAAACAAATAGCAATAACATAATTTCACTTTGTGTCAAACGATCAAGGAAAGGTTAGGTAGTTTATATTTATGGAACATATTTATGGCAGGTATTTTGGAGACATTACTCCTATGATACAAACTAGAAAACAGAATGAACATTTAGAACACAACACAACCGGCCATACCTATGAGAGTCTGAAATGGGCCTTTCCCTTTTAGAGTCTGATTAATACATTATGCAGAAGTTAAAAATGACCCAAAATTATGAGGAATATAATAGAGAGATAGCAGGGGTGCTGTGTGGTTTTGAGTAGTAAGTCACATAATCCCTCTGAGCCTGTTTCCTCAACTGTAAAATGGAGATGCTAATGTTTATATAAAGTGGCGGAGTGAGATTCATACCCAGTTCTTTCAGAGTTCAAATTTGGTCCCTATACAAAATTAACTTTTGAATTCAAACAGTTAAAGCCAATCCACCTTAGAAGAAGCTATAAAGTAAAAACTTTGTAAGGGTCAAAAACTCCTAACACATAGAGCACAGCAATGAATATCAGTTGGTACACTAGCGTGTGCCAGATCCCCATCTGCCCACAAGCTGCCTTTGCCCAGTCCTTGAGGTTTGGAGGCATCAACTTACCGTGTCTCTACTTACAAAACTGCCCCAATGCCGATATGGTACAAGTAGGAATATAAATACCTCCTTCTCAACACACAAATGGATCTGTGGCCTCATCCTGTCCTCTTTGTATAAAAGGACATTGAACTGCAGAGAACTTCTGAGATGTACACATGGTAAGTCAACAAAAGGACGAAGAAAACAGCACCAGGAATGTCAAATCTTCAGTCCTTTGCTCAGACAATTGGGTTCAGTACCCAGTTCCAGTAGAACAGGTAATGGGTATATAATGAGTTTTATTAGTCAGTCAGCTTAAGAAGCTAAAGATTCTTTACTTCTCATTTGTATTAAAAAAATATATTGATGAATGATCATCTAACAAAATTGAATCACTAATATGTGTTCCAAGATAGAATTAGTTATTTCTGAACAGGACTGCTCCAATGTAAGCTCCTTGGGTCCCAGGACTGTTTCTGGTTTCATTTTTGCCAGTGCATGGCAGTGTGCCTTTCACATAGCAGGCATTTAATAAATGCTAGTTGAATTGGATTAAGCCAGGTCTTGAGCAAATTGGGTAGTTGGAAAGTTTGTTTTTGGTATCCCTCATTGTCTCTTTCAATGCTTGCTTTCTTTTTAGTACTCTCTGTTGCCAAGGTGCCTCATAACTTATCCTACCTTGACCTAATGGTGTTCTCAAGCACTATGGCTTCAGACCTGGACCTCTGATCCAGGTCAGCACCTACCCTGCCTTCTTTCACTCCTCCACCCCATGAGAACTTGTCTAACCTGTGTCCCATTCCCTCACGACTTTACCATCTTGCTAATTCACAAATAGATATTACCGGTGATGAAGCATCATTTGTCATCTCTCTCAGATAACATATTTACATTTTAACTGGGCCTTTCAACGTCTTGACCCAAGGGTTAACAAATGTGGCAATTTTATGTACTAGTGGAGGAGATTTATTTGGAGTTCTTGGCAGGCAGCTATCTATTCCACCTATGTATAAAGTCAGCCCTGTTGCTGAATTAAACCTTTAATGATTCACACTAAAAAAAAAAAACAAAAACCAATCAATGGAAACTGCTTCAGGTGTCAGGGGTCCAAATCTGGACTACTGGCAATAAAGTAAAGGCAAAGCATTTTCATTAAGTGACATTGTCCTGTGATTGCTGAATATTGCTGATGTGCCTCAGCTCTCTGTCCCCAGTATCATTTTGAAGCCTTCACAGCATTATTTCATGATGCTTCTTGAAGGCTAGCAACAAAATCCAGTCATTGCGTGTAATAGAAACCAAAAAGAGTTGAGAACCAAGGGCTTATTATGTTGGCAAATGTTTTCATGGATACCAGATATGATTATTCTCACAGAAAGGGGCTCACATCCATTTGTGATCCCAAGCCTCATGGAGCTACCTAGATCACTAGGGGGACTGCACTCAAGAAGACCCACACTCTCTCTACAACTGGCTCACTCTCCTCTTGGCCTTCTCGACCACCTCACCAATCTGTTCCATCTCTGCCTGCTGCCTGGTGCTCTGGGGATAACTCAGCCCTGAGGCAGACTGCACATGACTGACCACTCCATGTGCCAACTCTGAGCATTTTCATTGGTTGTCTCCCATGTCTGGAATATTTTCTTCTCTCTCCTCATCACTAACTCTTAGTCCCTCTGGCTTCCTTCAAGTCTCAGCTAAAGTCCTGCCTTATGCAAAAAGCCCCTTCCAGTCTCCCTTAATGCTAGTGCACTCCCTCTGATTATTTCTAAATTAGCGTGTGTATATCTTGTTTCTACATAGTTGCTTACATGACCAATTCATTATACTATGAACCCCTTAAAGGCACGGACTGCTTTTTGCCTTTCTTTATATCTCCCCCTCTTAGTATAGTGCCTGGCACACAGTAGGTAATTAATATATGCTAGCTTATTTGACTTTGAAGTAGGTACCATCTTATTTTCTTATTTTTGTATCCCTACTACTTAGCACCAGTCCCTGGCACGTAGTAAAAATTTAGTAAATTCAGTTTCTCTCTCTCTCTTTGTCTCTGTCTCTCTGTTTGTCTGTCTGTCTGTCTGTCTGTCTGTCTCTCTCTCTCCCTTCCTCCCTCCCTCCCTTTCTCCCTTTCTCCCTCTCCTCCCTCTCTCTCCCACTTCTTCCCTCGCCCTCTCTTTCTCCCTCCCTCCCTGAGCAAACCAATCAGAGATTGTATGCCATAGGGAACTGCAGGTACTAAAAGGCTTGTACTTCCCAGAATTCAAAGGTTGAGAGGCTGTCTTTTGGGTGTACCATGTTCTGAGTGAGATATGACTCAGGCCAGTTCCCTATTAGTTTAAGTGGAATGAGATGAGATATTCATAGGTCATTCAACAATTACAAAAAGATTTTCTTAGCTATTGTAGGAGAGGGATATTAAATAAGGATATATAATCAGGGCATCATGACTTGATTCAGATGAACAAAGCTCCCCTTGCCCTAAGTTGCCCATGGTGGTTTTCCAGTCAAGTATTAGAGGCTGGCCGTTTTGTACTGAGGTAACTAGGAAATGATGTCAACAGTCCTAACCTTTCAGCCTCTGAACCATTAAAGTTTTGAAGATGGTTTCAATAATTTTTGAGAGAAAACTAGCCTAATTTGCTTGGGTAGAGAAAGTAGAATACTGTTCCCACCATATACCTCATCCTTTTATCAAATGCAAACTTTTTATGTAAATTGCACTTTATAAAATTATATTCTCTATCTTTTTTCTAATATTTTAAAATATAAAGTGCAAAAGGAGAAATTCTTTTCTAGAGGGCAGGATACAAACTAAATAGAGTAACATTATAGGATTACTGGATCATAGGATTTAGAGCTAAAAGGGACCTTATATATTCCTATATATCAATGACTTTTTAATTATCCTCACCTTGGTCCAGCTGCCCCAGCCCAAGGCCAGCCCTGAGGCTTTCTTCTGAGGTAATTATGGTATAGCCATGATGTGTGAGTATGTGCTGATAAAGCTGAAGTTCCATTTGGCTGTAGGAAGAAGGCACATAGAGCACTGCCCTTCTCCCGTGGCTTCCAAAATGCTTCACAATAGACTCTTTAATCTGGGAAGAGAAGTGAGAGTCAGACATTAAAATTAAGGATGAAAAAATCATGAACTTCAATTGAGTTACTCTAAGCAAAATCATTTAACCTCTTAGAAACTCAGTTTCCTCATCTGTAAAATGGGTGGAGAGTTGGACTAAATAGGCTCTGAGGTCCCTATTAGCTCTAAATCAATGATCCTACAGGTCAATTGATGCACTAACACAGCATGGCAATACCCCACTTTTATTTGCACATTGTTGCAATAGTCCTAGTGGCCAAACTTTCAAAGGCAAATTAACATTGACAATTAAGAAAGATAATCATCTTAGATAACTAAGAAGTTGGAGCATTGCTATTGTGATTTTGAGATCGACCATCTTTAAAATAAAATTTAAAATTAAAATTAAAAAAAAAAAGAATTCTCAGGTGATATAAACTTAAGCAGCTAAAGTTTACTGCCTAAGGGTGAGATTTTGAAGGCCAAGAAGAAATCTGTCTCTCCCCTACCCCTGCTGCTTGAAATTACTTTTTAACAAAAAGTTTAACTTTTTATTCCATAATTAGAGATAAAACTTAAGATTAAAAAAAAATACCTCTTTTGTATACCCAAACACTCACAGAGTTAACGTATCAGCTCCTTTATCTTTTCCTATGGGGTCTAAGTGTAAAAAATTTGAGTGAGGGTAGTTGGGGGAAGAGATAAAAGAAAACCTTTTTTACCCTCTTATTTCTTTCAATATGCCAAACACAATTTACTTTCCCTGGTGTTATTAATAGTAAAACTCTCAGAAAAACTCCAGGATTGCTTATGGGACAAGTAAGAAAGAAGTTATGAGTTGATTTTTTTTTTAATTGCAGTGACCAGAGAAATCAAGTAGGAAAATATTCCCTGGGGTGGAAAGAAACATAAACATCAGTGCCCCTTAGCTTGAGAATCATCCCTAGGATTTAACTCCTACCTTTGTCTCTTCTACTTAGATCCTTTTTCTCCCTGGCTTCAACCCCACGTTCTCAGAATCCCATCCCCCATGCCAGGAAAGCCTCTGCTGGTATTTAGAACTGGCTGGGTCCCTTCTGTCTTAATACAAACTTTGGGAGGTTATACACAAAGCACCACACGAGGAAACCTGAAACACATGAGGACACAGTAAAGTAAGCCAGCTTAATTAAGAGGAGAAGGACCACAGGATGGTCCCCCTTCAGGGTCCGAGATTGAGTTGGGCCCCTCCTGGGGTCCCAAACAGGGTTATCATTTCTGGGACCAGTAAAGAATCATGGTTTCCACCCCACCCAGACCTGCACCCCCATTCCCCCTATATGAGCCTAGCAGAACTAGGAATTAGGAGAACAGAGGAGGAGACTGCTTCTAATACATGCTTTTGGCCAGGGAGAGGAAGTGTTACATTAGTGGGAATAGGGACTTTGGAACTTTACTGCTGATTTTAACCCCTGTCAGATGGGCGACTCAACTTCCCTATCAGGAGTTTTTGAGCTTCCTCAAGGCTTCTTCGTTTAGAAGGGTGATGAGGCTCCAGGAAAGAAGGTAGGAGCACAGAGGGGGAAAAAAGTCTTCAATTCTGGGAGTGAGTAGGTGGAGCAAAGAGGGATAAAGGAGATAAAGGGACACACTCCTGGTGTCCCAAGTGGGCATGCTGAAGGCATTTTTCCACGTTAAACTGGCCAGTGTGGTGATTATATAGTCTAGAGTAAGGGTGACCTCTCTAGTAGCCAATGGACATCTCAGGATTTTTTTTTTTATTTCATAATTGAAAGAAATGCTGAATTTCAGTTAGAGCTTAGTATATATAAAGCTATAATTTTTTTTTTTTTGCTATCCAAATTCATGGACCCTAAGAACCCCAATCTATTGTATTCTTTGTAAAGTACTCTAGTAACATTATGGCTTAAATAGGCTTCTGTGGGCTGGCCTGGGAACATAAGCACCACGTACATCAATATTTCTATGGGAAAATACTTTTAGACCTCCCTCCCAAAAAAAAAACTGACTTAAAAATAAACTTTTTGGACTAAGATCCGTTTGTAAGTTGGGCACTAGCTGTATTTAGTTGAAATGCTTTAACTCTCCAAAGTAAGAAAATGTCCTATGTGCCTTTCATGATGAATGCCAACATGAATTCTTAAGAAGGAACAATTTGAAACGAGATTGAAAGGTGAGCCTTTAAATGCTAAAGCTGATTAGTGAGTGACCCATTGGACTACTCCCCAGAGGGCCAAAAGAAACAAACAAAAGACTTCCCTTCCCACTTCCCACTTTCAAGAGTCCAGGAGAGAGAGAGAGGGAAGGCAGATGTTTTGCAGTAAATAAATGCCACTCAAGCTACAATGAATAGTGTTTATGGGTCTCCTAAGTGTTCACATCATCTTCATTCTTAATCACAGGATGCAATTTTCTGTAACTATTGGCTCGAGTATAAGACTTATTTTGGTAGCGGTATTTTAACTCTCTGATTCATTACTAAAGTGCTGCTTTTATTTTAGAGACATCTTTCCCCTTCCTCCTTTCAACTTGGATCAGTGTACTCAGAGATAATGACATATTTACCCCTACCTCTCATTTTTAAGCATATCCTAAATAAAGTGTATTTCTCAGTTGTATTTTTTTTTTGTTGTTGTTGTTAGAATCTTTGGGAACTAGGCTAAACAAACACAGAAACTTATCATATCTAAATCCAATCCAGCAGAAGAATAAATAGGAAATGAATAGGTCAGTGGAATTATGTTATGTTATCCTGTAATTCAAACTGCCCTGTCCTTGTAACATTTATAACACTCTGTGCCAGCAGAAATGGTCCAACAGCAAGACTCACAGACCTTGAGCTTCTGCTTTTGCCAGTTGGCCAACAGGTGCAGTTCTCAAATATGCAAAATGAAAGCCTGGTGAGCAAAGGGGCCAACTGTCCTAGTACCAACTACCAATCAGATCACTTCATGCAAATAAGATCTTCTGCCTTGTTCCACTGTTTTTTGAAGACTGTAAACTGAAGAATAAATTTTGTTTTGAAACCACAATAAAAATTCCAAACTTCCTACTGTGTTGACCAACTATTTAAAAAATACTGTCTCCGAGTCTTACCACAGATGTTTAAAAAGTCACTTCAATTTTTTTTTTTTTTTGTTCCTTTGAAAAATTGAAATGAACATGTTTGGAAATCATGTTGTTCTTGTAGGAAACTATGTACTGTAAGCTTAAGATTTTTATTCGAAGAAATTTTAAATATTAACATCTACTTATCCTTTCGAAAATAACTGTTTGAATTGTGAAAGTTAAATATGTGGACTATTTGTTAATAATATTATAGTCCTGTATGTATCTATGCTTAGTACCCTCTTCTGAATTTAACATATTTAAAGATTTAATTTAAAACATTATTTAAAAGCATATTTTTGCCATTTTATGTTTTCAGTCTCAGAAATACTTCTGTCCAAGATTAAATATGAAAACATTGCACATTTGCATTAAATGATCAATATATCTCAATGAAATCATAAACATTAGAAGTGAAAACAAAAATGGAAATCACTCATACAACAAAAGCAATGGATGTAAATTTAAAACGGGATGAAGAATATCATAAAAGGATGGCTGTTCTAGAATTTAAAAAGTCTTTTTGCTAGTCTCACTTCAAGAGTATGAAATATAGCTCTTTTTAGTAATAGCAAGACTGAAAAATACAACTTTTTTTCATCAGGTTGACAGAGTGACTTTTTTCAGTGTCTATTAAATAGCTACATACAGATTTGTATTTATGACACACTCCTCTGTCGAAACACAAATCATCTAGTCCATCTAAGACACCATCCTATAACTAAAATCAGCACTACTTTCCTAGTTGGCAGTTTCCAGGCATTTCAGAAACACTGCCTATGCTAGCATGCTGTCTTCCTGTTTTTACATTTGAGAACCAAAATAGAGCTTTTCCCATTGTTGATATTGACCTTTTAAATGACTTTATTTCTGCAAAAGCAAAATTTAAAAATAAATTTGAGGAAGGTTGACTGAGTGCTGAGCCTCTTAAAATCATGTGTAGCTCGAAGACTCCCAGTCCCAAGGTTTCTGGATAAGACCCCATATTTTCCTTCTTAGAATCACAAAATGTCCTTTAGATGTGCCACAATGATCCATGATATCAAACAATTTCTTGGCCACTTGGCAGGCAAACTATGACCTAGCATGGACATAATTCAGATAGACTGGGACTTTAAATTGGTTTGAAGGACATCCCCTGAATACAGGTGAGAATTAGGGTACATTATGAAGAGACCCCAGTCTAGTTAAACATTTGCTGTATTATTTTAGAAAGATCCTAAGTGTCTGCTTGGAGGTGACCCCTATTTGACCCAAGACCCCATGGATTTATTTCTCTAATTCAGAGATTCTTAACCTGGAGTCTGTAAACTTATATATATATATATATATATATATATATATATGTATGTATGTATATGTGTGTGTGTGTATACATATATATGTTTATATACACACATACACACACATATATATACATGCATATATATGTAATTATTTCAATATAATTGGTTTCCTTTACAATCTTGTGTATTTTATTTTATGCATTTAAAAACATTATTTTGAGATGAGAGGGGTCATAGATTTTACCAAACTGCAAAAGGGGTATATGACACAAATAAAGGTTAGGAACCACTGATTGAATTCATATTCAAAGAAACTCTTTTCCCCAAACTTAAGGAATGATCTTGCTCCTGACTGGCCTACTGTGCCATTATCAATCAACAAACACTTATTAAGTACTAACTGTGTGCCAGTTACTGTGTTAGTTACTGGAAATACAAATACAAAAATAAAACAATCCTTGTCCTCAAGTAATTTATAGTCTACTGGGACCCAGCTAGCTTCAGAAAGAAGATGGTAGCCATGAATATGATCAAGATTCTGCTCTGAAACAGATTAAATTGGTTGTCTTTGCCCTCCTAGCCTTCTCTCCTTTTGTGTGTTTCTCTTCCTCATTTTGCCTTTGAC